CGGCGGAGAAACGATACGGATACCGGGCGGATGAGAGCGGGGCCCAGACATCCGATGCCGTGTGTTTTCTGCGACGTGGCTCCCTAGAGCCTTCTTGGGGACTGGTTTTTCATGCTGAGTAGTTTCTTGGATGTTTTTTGGCGTCCCAGGGCCCAGCAAGGGCCCCAGCACTCCGAAACTACCAAACGCCTCCCGTCGAGACTTTCTCACGACGCGAGCGAGGATGTCATGGGGGCTCGGGGGAAGCTCTTCGGCGTCTGCCTCGAGGTCATGGGGCTTGAGGGGATCGGCCCCGAGGCCTCGGGCCCGACTTCCCATTCTACAATTCAGGATGCAAGTCTTGGGCGATTGAATTCAAGCATCGGCTCTGGTAGATCCATGGTAAAAAACCGGGCAACCCCTGCATCATCCTTGCTAGTTCCGCTCAATCCGGTTCAATCCGTCTCGATCGGGTTTGATTTCGGGCTTGATTTGGGCTACACGGTTTTCAACCCGTGGTAGCCGCGTGTCAAACCAGTCTTCGCGCCCGCTCGAGGCAAAAGGTCCACATACCTTAACCCCCTCAACCTCCGTTGTCGTAGCCTCCTCGTGATCCTCCTCCCCCTCCTCCTCCTCGTCCTCCTCCTCCTCGTCGTTCCCCTCCTCCTCCTCCTCCTCCTCCTCCTCCTCCTCCTCCTCCTCCTCCTCGGGCGCTGCTCGGCCCCGCCTGCTGCGCCTGCCGCGTCGGGCGGGGCGAGGCCGCGCGCGCGCCGCGGCGCTCTCTTTCCCCGTCGGGCGGGGGAGGCCCGGGAAGGCCCTCGCTCCCCGCCGGTCGCCGGCGGGCGCCCCGGGCCGCCCCCCTCGCGGGGGGAGCCTCGCACACCCAGACATGATCGCGTCGTAAAAACATCAGGACAAAGGGTTTTTGGCTATTTTCGGCCTCGGGGGGCCCTCGCCGGGCCTCGGGACCGTCAAAAAACGACTCAGGGCGAAGAGCCGGGACCTCCGGGGACGCCGTCCTGAAAAAATCAGGACGTCGCATGTCTGGGCACCGATCCTGGCCCCCCTCCTCGAGGGAAAGGAAGCTCCAGCTGTCCCTCTCGGGCTCTGCCCAGCCAGTGAGCGGGTTCCAAGCTGGCTCTCGATTCGGATCCAGAGGCCCAGGGTCAGGGATTCTCTCATAGAAGGCCCTTGGGGGTCACGTCTCGATCTTGTCTGCTGGTGCTATCATTGTTCGCGTCGCATGCCCGCGGACGAAGAGGCAGCTAACACAACGCCCCCCTCCCTCCAGCCTCAAGATGGTGGCAGCGACAGGGCGAGTTTCGCTGCCGCGGCAGCACCTCTCCCGGCCTTCCCCTGCGGGAGGCGGCAGTGCCGGGAGGATGCTCCACGCCACCGCTGCACTCCTCCCGGCCTTCCCCTGGGGCAGTTCGGGGAAGGGGGCCACGCGGGCAGAGGAGAAGGAGAAGGACAGCGAGAAGGAGACGAGCGGCCGAACGACGGGACGAAACGCGCAGACAGGCGGAGGAGGTGGAGGCTGGTGCCAGCGCCTGTATGCGCAGCGCATCCCCCTCCCGTCCCCTTCCCGCCCTCCAGCCGGCGCGCAGGCCGAGGGTGCTGAACCACAGGCGGTCCACCGCACTACAACATCAAAACTACACACTTTGAAGAAAGACCATGCGTCATGAGCATAGCATTTCTGACTTTCGGAGGTCCGCGCGCACCTCCCAAAGCTTCTGTTTACGTATCGGTTTTTCTTCTACTCGTCCTTCACAGTCCGCTGAGAGGTGCCCTGCGAGGCCAGGATGGCCGGGGCGGCACCTTCGTGGAACAAAGAAAGGCGCCCCCAGGCATCCGATCTGTTTTCTTCCACGCGCGGCCCCAGAGGCCCCGACCCCTTTCTCCGGGAAAGCTTGTCGCCCTGGAGATCCATTTTTGCTGGCCCTTGGGCCCGAAAGGGGGCCCCAGAGGCCGAAGTTGTGGACAAATCTCCCGAATTGAACAAATCACATCGTCGGAGATCTGCGACGATTCACTTCGGCCGCGGGGACCAGCTCCCTATCGTTGCCCCACCACAACCACCAGAGCGCCTCGCCCCCCCCCGCTGGGGTTAAGTCGGGCACGTCCCCCTACAGGAGGAAGATTCAGAAATAGTCCCAAAATCGTCGGGGGACGATTTGATTCGAGCATTTCTTTTGACAACCTTTCTTGAGCATTTTTGGAGTGTCTCTCTAATGTTTCCTCCAAGGTCCGCCTGTAGGAGGACAGGCCCGACCCGCGCTGGGGCCGAGCGGGCGCCGACGAGCGAGCTGCCGGCGGTGCGGCCGAGGAGCGGAGCGCCCTCTGCGTGCGGCGGGGCCCCCCCTGCAGGCTCGCCAGGCGGAGCTCGACCTCGGAGGCCAGCGAGCCGATGCCCACGCCCCGCGTGCGCATTCACACCGACGGCGACAGCAGGACTGGGCCCGCCTCCTCCGCCTCCACATCGCCCATGTAAACCCAAAGGTCATCAACGATGTTGGAATGAACCCTTCCTCCAAGCTCCCTCTTCATAGGCCCCTACAACGGTTCGTTTCCATTGAGGAAACTGCCTCGTTGGAAGACAACCGTTTGAAGATCCTGAAGCATGCCAAAACATTGTTCTCGGGATTTCAACGCCACGGATCAACCTGACTGCTGCGTCTTGACGATCCAGAATCGTGTCAGAACGCATTTTTTTGGGCTTCAGCACCGCGAATCAACATAACTGTTGCGCCCGCATAATCCTGACTCTTTCAAAAGCACAATTTCTGGTAGGTTGATCATGAGGATCAGTGAAAGTCTGGCAATTTTTTGAACCGAATGTGCGCGGCGCTCAGGCGAGAGCCACATTTTGAAAAGGAGCCGTCCTCAATCCGTGAAACCCTTGCAAATTTATAAAACGACTGAGCGCGGCGCTAAGGCGAGAGCCACATTTTGAAGACGACCCGCCCTCAATCCGTGAAGCTCTTGCAAATTAAGAAAACGATTGAGCGCGGCGCTAAGGCGGGAGCCACATTTTGAAGACGACCCGCCCTCAATCCGTGAAGGTCTTGCATTTTTCCCAACCCTCCTGCGTTGGGTACTCGTTTTGAATAGAGCACTGCGGTCTCCACCTTCCTTCCTTCCCGCCTCCTCCTCCTCTCTTCCCTCTTCCTCTCCTCTCTTGCTTCCCTTCTCCGCCTCTCTTCGCTCCTCCTCTTCTCTCTGGCATCCCTTCTCCTCTCTTCGCTCCTCCTCTCTTGCTTCCCTTCTCCTCCTCTCTTGGCTCCTCCTCTTCTCTCTTGCCTTTTACGTCATCCCTTTGGGGCTGCGATCTGTGAAACTGTCGCCACTTTCGAGGGCTGTTGGGGGGGCCAGCGGAGTGACGCCTTACGGGGACTCAGATTAGACCTCGCCATCCCTGGGGGGCTGCGATCTGTGAAACTGTCGCCACTTTCGAGGGCTGCTGGGGGGGCCAGCGGAGTGACGCCCTACAGGGACTCAGATTCGACCTCGCCATCCTTGGGGGGCTGCGATCTGTGAAACTGTCGCCACTTTCGAGGGCTGCTGGGGGGCCCAGCGGAGTGACGCCCTACGGGGACTCAGATTAGACCTCGCCATCCCTGGGGGGCTGCGATCTGTGAAACTGTCGCCACTTTCGAGGGCTGCTGGGGGGCCCAGCGGAGTGACGCCCTACGGGGACTCAGATTAGACCTCGCCATCCCTGGGGGGCTGCGATCTGTGAAACTGTCGCCACTTTCGAGGGCTGCTGGGGGGCCCAGCGGAGTGACGCCCTACGGGGACTCAGATTAGACCTCGCCATCCCTGGGGGGCTGCGATCTGTGAAACTGTCGCCACTTTCGAGGGCTGCTGGGGGGCCCAGCGGAGTGACGCCCTACGGGGACTCAGATTAGACCTCGCCATCCCTGGGGGGCTGCGATCTGTGAAACTGTCGCCACTTTCGAGGGCTGCTGGGGGGCCCTGACGCCCTACGGGGACTCAGATTAGACCTCGCCATCCCTGGGGGGCTGCGATCTGTGAAACTGTCGCCACTTTCGAGGGCTGCTGGGGTGCCTAGCGGAGTGGCGCCCTACGGGGACTCAGATTAGACCTCGCCATCTTGGGGGGCTGCGATCTGTGAAACTGTCGCCACTTTCGAGGCTGCTGGGGGGCCCAGCGGAGTGACGCCCTACGGGGATTCAGATTAGACCTCGCCATCCCTGGGGGGCTGCGATCTGTGAAACTGTCGCCACTTTCGAGGGCTGCTGGGGTGCCCAGCGGAGTGACGCCCTACGGGGACTCAGATTAGACCTCGCCATCCCTGGAGGGCTGCGATCTGTGAAACTGTCGCCACTTTCGAGGGCTGCTGGGGGGCCCAGCGGAGTGACGCCCTTCGGGAATTCAGATTCGACCTCGCCATCCCTGGGGGGCTGCGATCTGCGAAACTGTCGCCACTTTCGAGGCCTGCTGGGGGGGCCAGCACAGTCTGCACCCGCGGCGGACTCAAATGGGACCTCGCCATCCCTGGGGGGCTGCGATCTGTGAATTTGTCGCCACTTTCGAGGGCTGCTGGGGGGCCCAGCGCAGTCTGCACCCGCGGCAGACTCAAATGAGACCTCGCCATCCCTGGGGGGCTGCGATCTGCGAAACTGTCGTCACTTTCGAGGGCTGCTGGGGGGCCCAGCACAGCCTGCACCCGCGGCGGACTCAAATTGGTACCTCGCCATCCCTGGGGGGCTGCGATCTGCGAAACTGTCGCCACTTTCGAGGGCTGCTGGGGGGGCCAGCACAGTCTGCACTGCACCCGCGGCGGGTCCAAATGAGACCTCGCCATCCCTGGGGGGCTGCGATCTGTGAAACTGTCGCCACTTTCGACGGGTGCTGGGGGGCCCAGCACAGTGGGCACCCACGGCGGACTCAAATGGGACCTCGCCATCCCAGGACAGTCTGCACCCGCGGCGGGCTCAAATAGAACCTCGCCATCCCTGGGGGGCTGCGATCTGTGAAACTGTCGCCACTTTCGAGGCCTGCTGGGGGGCCCAGCACAGTCTGCACCCACGGCGGATTCAAATGAGACCTCGCCATCCCTGGGGGGCTGCGATCTGCCAAATTGTCACCACTTTCGAGGGCTGCTGGGGGACCCAGCCCAGTACCCACGGCGGACTCATATGGGACCTCGCAATCCCATGGGGGGCTGCGATCTGTGAAACTGTCGCAACTTTCGAGGGCTGCTGGGGGGCCCAGCACAGTGGGTACCCACGGCGGACTCAAATGGGACCTCGCCATCCCTGGGGGGCTGCGATCTGTGAAATTGTCGCCACTTTCGAGGCCTGCTGGGGGGCCCAGCACAGTGGGCACCCACGGCGGAATCAAGTTAGAACTCGCCATCCCTGGGGGGCTGTGATCTGTGAAACTGTCGCCACTTTCGCGGCCTGCTGGGGGGCCCAGCACAGTGATGCCACACGCAGATTCAAATTACACCTCGCCATCCCTGGGGGGCTGCGATCTGCGAAACTGTCGCCACTTTCGAGGCCTGCTGGCGGGGCCCAGCACAGTGACGCCTCCCAGGTAGCTTAGACACCAAGTTGATTGTCCATACAAGGTTCGGCCAACTCCTCGTTTCCATTGATACAAATGGGTTGGGTACGTCACAGGGTAATTTTAGAACGAATGTGCGCGGCGCCAAGGCGCGAGCCACATTTTGAAAACGTTTCGCCCTCCATCTGTGCAGCTGTCGCCACTTTTTAAGCTTCGGAGTCGCAAGTGGTGAGGAAGTCTCAGACGAAGCGCCCGACCCGCCGTGAAAACTGGCCTCGGGGTGCGACAGGGTGAAGTTACTTGTAAGGAAAAGGAATGGAGGCAGGAGGCAGAAGGCAGGAGGAACAGGAGGCGAATGAGGCGGGAGGAGGTGGCACGCAGGGGGAAGGAGAAGGAAGAGGTCCTCAGAGGTCACTGGAGGTCCTCGGAGGATGGGGGTCCAGGGCCGATCCAATGAATCCGCGCGGATCTCCGACAGCTGATGTTCATGATTATTTTGTTATGCAGTTGTCCATTCTTTTTGCACGTCCCCCTTCTTCCGTTCCGTTCCGAAGCGGCTTGGAGCATGCCCTTCTATGGAGGAAAGCATGCACAGGAAATGGGAAAGAGTGAGGGACCGTAATCGAATGCAGGCCTCACTCCTCTGAAGGCACGCCTCGTGAGCCTCCCTGGTCAGAGGCCCAACCAGCCGAAAGGCTGGGCCGTCCGCACGATGCTGTCTCGAGCCCTCCCCTCCCCATTCCCTTCCCATCTCCTCCCCATCCCACCCCGCCCGAACCGCTCGCTGTGCACAGCTCTGTGGAAGATGATGCCGCGCCCGAGCGCGGCCGCTCGCTGTGCACGGCGTGAGAGAGCCTTGCTCTCTCGCCTGTCTCTCTCCAGCCAGCCGCGGGCAGGTGCAAGTCGTGGGTACACCCCCCACATCTGGCTGCTCCAATTTTTTTCGATGCGTGGGCCCCAGAGGTCCGGACCACCTCCCTAGAGCCAGTTTGCGTCCCGATAGACGCGCTAACGGTGTGTTAGCCAACGGCGAAGTAGGACAATCAATTGTGTGAATTCGTGGTTCGGGCCAAAGCAATTGTATTGTAGGCACGCGTAGTTCGTGTTTTCCCAAACAATCGCTGTGTCGTTCTCGTTCGATATATATAGATATAAATATATGTATATATATATATATGTATATATATATATATATATGCATGTTTGACATGTAGGAGACGGTCTTGCGTGATTTCCTACCTTTTGCCTTGAGTGAGCTCGGTGTCACAAAAACAATATTCCCAACCGGACCGTCAATCAAGCACGCCGTCAGCGCGGCCTTGCTCGTTGTTTGACGCCCCCGAGGCCCAGCGAGGGTCCCTGGGGGCCGAACGCAACCAAAAGCCGCCCGCTCCAGTCTTCTCGGAGCGTCGGATCTCTGGGACTGCACCACCCCCGAGTCCTTGAACCCTCTCCCCCGCGACCTCAGCCCTTGCGGGTCGCCAACGGTGCCCCTGGCCCAAGGTGCCCCCAGCCTTTCGCTGACTTTTGAAGCCCCTGGGGCCCTCTGGGCCTCGTGAGGGGTGCTCTGGAGGCCGTGGGGGCCTCCCTGGGGATCCTGGGGACACCTTGGGCCAGGGGCACTTCCAGCAACACCCGATGAGCCCTCTCCCCCTCGACCTCCCCAGATCCCCGAGGTCATGATTTTTTCATTGCCTCGACCCCACGAGGTCTCGACCCACTCCCCAGGACCAGTTTCCCACCCGAACAGCATGACCCCCCCCGTCGTGATCTTTTCACTGCTCGAAGGGGTTCTGGGGGCCACGTGCGAACCCCACCCCTGCCCCCCACGATTTCCAAGGGGGATGGTGGGGTCCACTTCGCTTGGGAGCTCCCGAACGCAGTGAACCCCACCCTCCCCCCTCAGAACATCGTGGGGGGTAGGGGTAGTGTTCGCACGTGGCCCCTAGGGGTCTGTCTGGGCCTCTCGGTGCCCGCCCTCAGGAGGAGGACGAAGGAGGAGGGACGATGAGGAGGAGGAGGAGGAGGAGGGGGAGGAGGAGGGGGAGGAGGAGGAGGAGGAGGAGGAGGAGGAGGAGGAGGAGGAGGAGGAGGAGGAGGAGGGGGAGGAGGACCCCCCCCGCCCCAGCTCCAGGAGGGACAGCGGCCGGCGGTCCAGCGGGGGCTCCTCCGCCCCGCCCGGGGAGCGCAGGAGCGGGGCCCCGGCGCGCCGCGTGGGGGGGGGGGGGACCCGCCCCGCGCGGCCACGCGCAGGGGGGTCGGGGGCGGCAGAGAGGGGTCCTCCTCCTCCTCCTCCTCCTCCGCCTCCTCCTCCTCCTCCGCCTCCGCCTCCGCCTCCGCCTCCGCCTCCGCCTCCGCCTCCTCCTCCTCCTTTTCCTTCTCCTCCTCCTGGTTGATGACTAGGGTGAGTCGGGCCTGTCCCTCTACAGGAGGAATGCTCAGAAATAGTCTAAAACTACTCCGGGGGTGGATTGTTTTTGGGCATTTTGGGGGTATTTTGTCATTTTTCGTCCAAAATCCCCCTGTAGGGTGACATGCCCGATTCAAGACTTGTGGGGCGATATCATGGCGTGAGCCATGATAGTTCCTCAGATTTCATGGCGCCTCTTCCTATTTCATTGCGTTCCTGGCCCTCCCCCCCTGGGCCGCGCACATGCCGCCGGCCATTATTTGCGTCCCCCCTTGGACGCCCCCTTCTTGGCCGCCCCCGAGGGGGGGGGGTATTCCGAGTTTCGTAATGAGAGCGTCGGGGGGGGGCGTCACCCCCGCCGACGGCCCCACATCGACCCCCGTCGCGGGCAGCCACCGCGCGCTGAAGGCGCTCCGACCCCGTCGCGGCGCGACGACGAGGCGAGGTTGACCCCCGTCGGGGGGGTACCCCCTCACGCTTATTAAGAAACCCAGGGTAGGGTCGGACCGAGGTATCAGGATCGAGGTCGGCTCGGGGAGGGTACCCTGGTTGTGGGTGGTGCTGGTGGCCGTGTCTCTCTAGGCCTCCTGGGTCGGAGCAGATGGGGTCGAAGGATTGCGCCGCATCGCCGATACATCGCTGATGCGGCTCCACGTCGACGTCGCCGATGCATCGCCCACGTCGACGATGCATCGTCGATGTATCGGCGCTGCGGCGCGATCCTCCGACCCCATCGATTCCGACCCCATCTAGGAGGCCTGGAGTCTTGGGGTGGCATCTCTAGGCGCCTCGCAACGGCGGCGCAGATGTGACGCCTGGGGCGTGTTTGTGCTGCCATTCATGTTGCGAGGTCCGACTGCATGTGAATTCATGCGCTCACCTTAGTGACCTCCCTTCGGGTTGTGTCGCCCAGGTGTTCTGTCCGGGCACAAAAAAGAGGGTACCCTGGTGTGCTGCTTGCTTGTTGAATGCTACGCGGAACTCTTCCACGTTTGAGCGCTGTCCCCTCCCCCTCCCCCCGAGCGGCCGCCCTCGTCCTGTTTCCTCGCTCTCTGCGCGCCGGCCAATTCGCTTTGCGACTGCCCCAGACAGCCGCGCGCTGGAGCGGACGGCCTCTGCCTCGCCGCCGAGGGAGAACTGTCTTGTTGGGTGTTTTTTTGTGGTAGCCTGGGGCAGGGCAGCCCCGAAGGCTCTGCAGTTTGGTGGCCGGCGGAGGGTCTCGTGCTTCTGAGTCACGTTCTTCCAGCCCAGAAATCCAATCACAAAGCACATCAAAGTCTTTGTGGAAGCCTCAGACAGTGTTCACTCGCAATGATCATACCAGCCCAGGTCCAATCGGAGGGGGGAGGGGGGACTGCCCCCTTGTGCGCGCCGCCAACCCGCTCCCAGCGGGGGCAACGTCGGGCGGGGCCCGCCCCGTTCCCATCGGGGGCAACGTCCCAAGAGATCCGACGCTCTGGCAAAGATTGGCGAGGGCGGTTTTTGGTCGTTTTCGGCCTCTCGGGGTTCTCGCCGGGCCCGGGCGCTGCAAAATAACTATATTTTTTGGTCGCTCCAGGTTTGGCGTCCCGAGTCGATTCGGGACGAGAAGCCCGACCCAGGGAAGCGGTCCAGATCTCCTGGTCCCACGCATCGAAAAACTCGGAGCAGATGGACGTCGGGGTCGGGAAGGGATGAGGTAGGTTTGTGTCGTGCCGCCGGTGGCGATTTCGCCGGTGGTGTTAAAAAGTTGGACGCCGCCGGCGACCCGGAGTCGTTCGATGTTGAACGACCTGGCGTTTCGGAAATGGCCGGTCGTTCAAGGTTGAACGATGCACGCGGTGTCGGTGTCAGGAGCCGCTGCCGAAGGTCGTCGCAGCACGAACCTGCCGTAGGCTCATAGGGTAGGAACTCACGTACATTGGCGTGCGCTAGCGTGTGGTACCCGATGAGAGAGATCGCCGATTTAGCGTCGCCTGGCGTCGATTTGCTGCAGGCAGGCGTCGATTAGCGCTGCCTAGCATCGGGCAGCGTCGATTCGCAAGAGCCAGCAACATGGCATGGGAGCCCCCCGCGAGTTGCTTCAGAATGCGCAGAGAGACGGAGGCCTCGAGGCTCAAGGTTTTCGGACGTCTTTTTCGTCCGTGTTCGGCGGTCTTCCAGCCTCGGGATTTCCTCCAGCGACTGACCCTCACCCAGAGTTCTACAGGGGAATCTTCAAAAATAGTTAAAACAATGTATTGGGACGATTTTTCTACCATTTTTGATAGTCTTGAATTCATTTTGACTATTTCCTATTTTTCGTCCCACAACCGCCTGCAGGGTTATGTGGAACCCATCGTACTTGATGACCACATCCCACAAGTATTTTCGAGCACCAAGAACAGCGCCGAAGCGGTGTCGAACGAGTGTCGCCTCCCAGGGCCTGGCACGTGAAAACCCTCAAGTTTCGGTGTCCTCTTGGTGCTCGAAATTCTTCCTGGTTCAGGCGATCGCAAACATGGATCAAGGGGGCGTGGATTAGCGACGGGTCCCGTTTCCATGGACACTCGCAGATTTCCGCCGCCGAGCGAGGCGGCACTGGCCGCACCTTCCCCGATCCATGGATTTGGCGACCGCGCGCCAAGTCCATGGATCGCTAATCCGTGTTTGCGCGCCCCCGACTGGTGATCAAGGCTAAATCGGAAACTGGAACATATACTACGTTACCAGTGGCGGGCTGTTTGTCAGTCCCAGAACTCTTTGAGGGTCCGGGACGACGTCGGAGTGGTGTGGTGTATACTATTTCCTCGTTGTCCCGTGGAAGCAACGAAAATGTATACACCAGGATCCCGTATACACCAGGATCCGCTTCCTTGTGCGAATCTCAGCGCGGGGCCGTGGAAAACGGCGGCGTATAGAGTCCGACCCCTCACAAAAAGCAGGTTGGACATCATAATTGTCAGGGGGGAATCGTGATGAGCCCGTTTTCCACCACCACCACCATAGGTTGGATGGGGGGAAGGAGGAGGAGGGCGAGGAGGAGGAGAAGGAGGAGGACGAAGGGAAGGAGGAGGAGGAGGCTGAGGAGGAGGAGGACCCCCCCTTCCAACTTATTGTGGTGGTGGTGGTGGACAACACGCCCATCAGCACGCCCGACCTCATTCTTCCAGGGGTGCTCGGCTCGTCCCGATCGGCCGCCGGAGGCCCGAGGCACAGGACCCGAGAAGACCATGCGACGGCGACGGCGACGAAGACGACGACGACGGCGACGGCGACGGCGACGGCGACGACGGCGACGGCGACGGCGACGGCGACAACGACGACGACGACGAAGAAGAACACGACGACGACGACGGCGACGACGACGACGACGACGACGGCGACGGCGACGACGACGAAATGGGGCGTACGATAGTTGCCGCGTGCAGCTGGTGTCGGCTCCGCCGCTGGGCGCTGTCGCCTCCGATCTGCAGACTGACCCGCCCCTTTGGCTCGGCGCCGGGGGAGCCAGCTGCGTGAGCTGGTTCGTCAATCCCCCGCCCATGCCTCCCCCCCTGTCGTCCGTCCCGACCAGGGAGGGTCTCGTCGTCGTCGTCGTCGTCGCCGTCGTCGTCGTCGTCCGGTGGTGGTGGTGGTAGTGGTGGTGGTGGTGGTGGTGGTGGTCGTCGTCGTCGTCGTCTTCGCTGTCGGGGGAGGGAGGGAGGGGATCGAGGGGCAGCCGAGGGCAGCGTCCTCTCGAGATCTTTTGTTGCTGCGGCCTGGCCCCGGCCGCAGGGCCAGGCCTCCTCCTGCCGCCCTCCGTTCACCCTGCCCTCCCCGTGGGCCCTCGAAGGGGATCCAGGGCAGCTCGTGAGGCCTCCAGGATTTTTGTTTTGTTTTTACAAAAAATAAAAGAAAAAACACATTATATAGATATAGATATGAGTATTATTATTGTTGTTATTTTAAAGAATTAGGAAGAAATTCGCCTGTAGGGGGACATGCCCAACGTTACTCTGGAGGGCTCCGCAGGGCTCCAAAGATCGGGCCCTCCCCAGACGGTGCGGCGACCGCGCCGCGTGGCGAGTCGGTGGCGATTCGGGGTGACCGCGATTCGGGGTGACCGCACGCACGGTCTTGGGGCAGGGCTGGACCTAAACGCTGTTTTGCTGGACTTCGGCTGTGTTTTGTTTTTCGTTTTGGGAGAGAGGTACAGGAAAACAGGTAGAGCAAAACGAAAGACAAAACGAAAACAAAGCGACAAACAACGTTTAGGTCCAGCCCTGTTTTGGGACATGGGTTGCTCTCCGAGTACGTCTCGGGAGACTGGGGCCTACAGTGGTCCCTAAAAACGCTGCGGTGGCGCCCTGCGGTGAGGTGGGGACTTCGAGGTCACCGCACGGTCTGTCACCGCATCGTTTCCCTGACATCCGCCGATGTGATTCTTTCAATCCGCATCCTCGGGGGTAGTCTTCAGTCGGGCCTGTACCTCTACATGGGGAATATCCAAAAATAGTAAAAAATAGTCGGGGGACGATTTTTTGAGTATTGTTTGGCTGTTTTTCAATATTTTTGGAGTACTTGTGATGTTTCGTCCAAAATCCGCCTGTAGGGGGACACGCCCGACCTAAGGGGAGAGTCACGTTCCGGAGCTGTCTCTGCTGGTCCGGGGGCCCGAAAACGGCACCCGATGGCACGATCCAGAGAAGAAGCGCTCCAGTCGTGTCGGAATCTGGGGCTCGTGGGACCCGCAGGAAGGCAGCTCTTCCGTAGAGCCCCGAAGAGGCCCCACGAGGCCCAGAGGGGGCCCCAGCCCAGAGGCCCAGAGGGCCCCGGCCGGCGCCGCGACCACAGGAAGCTGCCTTCTGGCAGCGGCCCGCTGCCCCGCCCCCCCCCCTGCAGGAGGCCCTCGACGGCGCGCGCCACGCTGCGCCTGCAGGCGAAGAAGAAGAAGAGCAGCTTCGCGGAGTTCCTCGACAGGAGGGCCCAGCAGCAGAGGCTCGAGGACCGCCGTGCGTTGCCAGCCTGGAACCTATCCCTATCCCTGTGCTGGGCACCTCCTCATCACGATGCCAATCCTAGGGGTTCCCTTACTCTTTGAGGGCGAACCCCTAAGATTGTCATCGCCTTTTGGCGTGTCAGCCTTAGGCATAGGGATACGCTCGAGGACCGCCGTGCGCGCCGGGCGCGCACGACCCCGGCGCGCCGTGGCCCCCTCCCCCTGGCGCTGCAGAGGCGGCCGGGCGCCGGCCGGCCGGGCTGGTAGGGTTATGTCGGGCGTGTCCCCCTGCAGGGGGACTTTCGACGAAAAAGTAAATACCCCAGAAATCTTCCAGAAAGGTCCAAAACACAAGCAAAAAATAGCCCCAGGATTATTTTTGGAGCATTTTTGGATTATTTTTGGGGTATTTTTATTTTTCGTCGAAAATCCCCCTGTAGGTGGACAGGCCCGACATAACTGTAGGGTTTCTTCTCCGACTCTGCTCTGAACTTAGTGGCAGTGTTTGAGAGTCCAGCTTTTGTCAGCGTTGAACTTACGACAGATTCGCTTTCAACCCCATGTCGAAGGGGTTCGGGCTGGTGCACCTCGAAGAGAGCAACAGAGACGTCACGAGTATGCTCCTCCCGAGCTCTCAGAGGAGGCAGACGTCACACTGCCGCTGGTTGCCAGTGCCCCGACTTTGAGCCTCCTGAGGGGCCCTCGTCGTCACGGCCTGATTCGCTTCGAGCTTCTGGCCAGGCGGTCGGGCGAGTCGCGACATTGGTATCTTTTTGTTGCGCCCAGAACGGCACAAACATGTAGGTTTGGAGTTCCGCGCGGATTTCTTGGATCAGCGCTGTGACATCCCTCCCTGGCGCGCGGAGAGCGCCATGGGTGGGGGCCCAGCGCTTATGCACGTGGAACCCCGAACCGTGTTTCTTTTATTCTTGCATCGCGTGACTCCCCCCTGCGACAGGTTGGGCGCAGCCCATCAGCCAGAGCAGCAGGAGGAAGCGGGAGTGGAGACCCTACAGCAGCGGGGGTCACGGAATCCACAGTGACGAGGCGGCGGTCGCTGCTCAGGACGTCGAAAACGGTGGACTAGCACTGCGACCTCTCCCATGGTGCTGTGCTGGCCAGGACCCCGAGGCGCACCTGGCCGTGGCGCCGAGGGCCCCCCAGGAGGTTCCCAAAACGAGAAAACGCGCGCAGAAGGCACCCGAACACCAACACCGTGCCAGGCCGGGGCCATCGCAGGCCCCCAGGATGGTGTGCAGATCCGCCTGGCCTCGGCCAGGAGGGTTCCCGCACCGTGCCAGGGTTCCTGCACCATAGCGGCCGAAGCGTTGGCGCCTCCTCCTCCGCCTCCTCCTCCCTCTCTTCCTCCTCCTCCTCCCCCTCCTCCGCCTCCCACTCCCCCTCCTCCTCCTCCTCCTCCTCCTCCTCCTCCTCCTCCTCCTCCTCCTCCGTCTCCTCCTCCTCCTCCTCCTCCTCCGCCTCCTCCTCCTCCTCCTCTCCCTCCTCCTCCGCCTCATCCTCCTCCTCCTCCTCCTCCTCCTCCTCCGCCTCCTTCTCTTCATGTCTCTGTGCGTCCCATCTCTGTCCTGCGGAGCTTGTCGAAGAGGCCAGCTTGCCCCAGCCGGCGGCATGCACTCGGCGTCATCTCGTAGGTCGAGGCTTTCTCTTCGAGGGTTTTCGGTGCAGAGAATTGCGCACACGCTCAGAGGCGCGTGTCGACGCAGAGGCGCATGAGCATTGGTGTGCGCGCGCGCACGGGCACGCACAGGCGCAGCCATACTCACGATGTGTGAATTCCGCAGGCACGCGCCGCGCACCCGCGCGAAGAAAGGTGCGCGTGCACACGAGCAGGCGCGCCAGAGAGAAGAGGGCGGCTGTGCTCCAGAGGATGGCCCTCGGCAGCTTCGTGTGTCCTGCTGCACGCGCTGGTGGAGCGAGGCTGGGCAGCATGATCACCAGCATTCCTGCACGCGCCTCGCGCCGTGCCCCGCTTGAGGACTTGCAGCGCCTGCAGGAGGTCGTCGCAGAGCCAGAGCAGGCGCCCATTGTCATCGTCAAGAACACGACGAAGGCGCAGAAAATGGTCGTGCGCGACCTCGAGGAGAGGGCACCGAGAAGATGCCGCCCAAGCTTCTTTTACCACTGCGTGAAGAGAGCCCTCCCTGGGTCCTCGCGTCCGTGACGGGGGCGTGCCCCCGCGTGTCACCTCCACGTTTCTTCTGCGTTTTGCAGCACCTCGCGGCGAGTGGTGTCCACGGGCGCCAGGGGTGATCGTGTGCGCTGCTGTGCTCTCACAGGCCTCGCGGTGTCTACATGCGCCGTGGGCTCATTTTAGGGGTCCCGGCGGCTTCCTGGTGGCCTGCAGGGGGCCTCTTGGATGCATAGGTGGGTGTATCTGGGGGTCCCCTTCCCGGACCCGTTGGACGGTTCAGGAGACGTCGTGGGGGCTCTGGAGGCCTGTTGGGAGGCCTGTGTCGGGGCCTGTTTGGGAGCGTCTTGGGGCCTCTTGGGGGCTTCGTGGAGGCCTCATGAGGCCTCTTGGGGTCGCCTTGGGACCGTCCGGGGGCCGCTCGGGGCTACATTAGCAGGCATGTTTCAGAAAGCCAGCCCGATGTCCTCCCTCTCTTGGGCACCTCTTGGGCCCTACATGGGAGCGCGCGCGCGCACGTGTGTGTGTGTGTGTGTGTGTGTGTGTGTGTGTGAATGTCTGTGTGTCTGAATGTCTGTGTGTCTGTGTGTCTGTGTGTCTGTGTGTCTGTGTGTCTGTGTGTCTGTGTGTCTGTGTGTCTGTGTGTGCGTGTGTGTGCGTGTGTGTGTGTGTGTGTGTGTGTGTGTGTGTGTGTGCGTATGAACGTGTGTGTGTTTGTGTGTGTGTGTGTGAATGTCTGTGTGTCTGTGTGTCTGAATGTCTGTGTGTCTGTGTGTCTGTGTGTCTGTGTGTCTGTGTGTCTGTGTGTCTGTGTGTGCGTGTGTGTGCGTGTGTGCGTATGTATGTGTGTGTGTGTGTGTGTGTGTGTGTGTGTGTGTGTGTGTGTGTGTGTGTGTGTGTGTGTGTGTGGTTTGTGTGTGTGTGTGTATGTGTGTGTATGTGCTTGTGTGTATGTGTGTGTGTTGTGTGTGTGTGTGTGTGCGTGCGTGTGTGTGTGTGTGTGTGTGTGTGTGTGTTGTGTGTGTGTGTGTGTCTGTGTGTCCGTGTGTCCGTGTGTGTCTCTGTGTGTGTGTGTCCGTGTGCGTGTGCGTGTGCGTGTGTGTGTGTAGTAAGAGGAGGATGAGGAGGAGGAGGAGGAGGAGGAGGAGGAGGGGAGGAGGAGGAGAGGAGGAGAGGAGGAGGAGGATGTGGGAGGAGGAGGAGGAGGAAGAGAGGAGATGCGGAGGAGGATGATGCGGAGGAGGATGCGGAGGAGGAGGAGGAGGAGAAGGAGGAGAGGAGGAGGAGGAGAGGAGGAGGATGGAGGAGGAGGAGGAGTAGGAGGTGGAGGAGGAGGAGGACTCGACAAGCTTGTGCTTGACGTCGGGGCAGCGTCAAAGAGGGGGAGGAGGAGGAGGAGGAGGAGGCGGGGGCGGAGGAGGAGGAGGAGGAGGAGGAGGAGGAGAATGGCACCCCGTACCGAGGGATGAAGAAGTCTAGTACTTTTGCTGCTGTGGTGCTCCCTCCACCGACCAGCACGCCCTCAAGCACCTTGGAGAGCGCGAGGAAGAGGAAGACATGACACGTGCTTGGCGAAGGATACGTTGGACGGCGCATCTTAGGACCACGGTGGCATCATCCGGGAGCGCACATTGCCCATGAACATCTTGTGGCCTGTGGTTGCCGAGAGGTTCGTGAGCACCACCGCGTGCGTGTTGGAGGGCCCCCGCCATCCCAGGGCATCTGGCGCCAGCATTCTCGCAGGGCGTCTCTGCTTGACGGGAGCCAGGCCACGGGGCGAGGCGGGCTTTCGGGCTGGCGTAGGAATTGGGTAAATCGCTCCAGGGCGTGCCCGATCGTTCTCGGGGCGGTCCAGCAGGCTGCGGAACGTCCGCGGCGCCCGAGGCGTTCTTCAGAACAGCCGATGCGTTCTTCGGGAGGAGGAGGAGGAGGAGGAGGAGGAAGAGGAGGAGAAGAAGGAGGAGGGGAGGAGGAGGAGGAGGAGGAGGGGGGAGGAGGATGGAGGAGGAGGAGGACCCCGACCTGGTTCTGTCCCGTTCCCGGCTTCGTCGTGTAGGGAGTGGGGCAGCAGCGCCAGCAGGACGGAGCAGGAGGGCGCGGCGCCCGCCGGGCGGGCCGCGCTCCGTGGTGGCCCCCCCCCTTTTTCCCGGCAGGAGGTCCGCCGCATCTTCAACACCTTCGATGCCGACCAGTCAGGCCGGCCGTGGGCGCGGGGCCATCGGTCGGGAGCCTTGGTCGGGTATAGGAAAACAGGGCTAGGATCGGGATAAATCGCTCCAGAGCGTTCCGGAGCGCTCTTTGAGCGTTCCGGAACGCTCTGGAGCGGCCGCGGCGCCCAATACATCCTCCAAACCCGCCGATCCTCAGAGATTTCGAGTTATCCCGATCCGATTTTGTCCCGATCTTCGCGTCGTTCTGTATAGCCAGGACCCCGGGTAAGTGGACCCGGTTCGTGGTAGGGCCCTGGGGCCCCTCAATTGGCCAGATTCACTAAACCAGGTCTGCCGTAAATGGTGTTTGTCGGGTGACGGCAGTTCCGGTCAGTGGAAATGGGGCGGGGGGGCGCCCCCGGTACAAATCACTAAACCAGGTTCCACTAAACCCAGTTCTGCCAACCCCCGACTTGGGACGGGGGTCAGTGCCAAGGGGGGTCAGCCAGAGCGCCGGATCTTGCAGGATCCTGCAGGGACAGGGTCGCATTGATCCATGCGACCCTGTCCCTGCAGGATCCGGGTCAATATTGACCCGGGCCTAGGTGCAGGATCCTGCAGGATCTGGCAGGATCCTTCGCATTGACCCGGGTTTGGGTGCAGGATCTTGCAGGATTTGCAGGATTCTGCAAGGCCTGACTGCCTCGGGTCTGGATTGACCCGGGTCAGAAGATCCCCAACTCGGCTCTGAGAGGCCCTTAGGGACAGCGTTAAGGGGGTACAGGCTCAGAGGGGACGACTTTCTCGGAATCGAGGTTCGAGAGTGTCAGTAGTTGTCGTCGGTTCTCGGCGCTTTTCCATCCTCGGGGTGTGTTCCAGCAGCTGCGCCTCGCCGAGGGCGTTCCAGGGGTGCCCCGATGATTGTCCCGAACGGCCGCCGGAGAGCCTAGTTCTGACCCGGAAGCTGGCCGACGAGGATCACTGCGGGGTATAGGTTCAGGGGTGGGTGCATGCATCAGCCCCCTATCGCCTGTTCCATCGCCGACAGTGGCCCGATAGCCCACCCCGCGAAGGAAGGTGCGGATTCGCTCACGGGGGCTTATCGCCGATCCATGGGCGATTTATCCCCGTTCCCAGCTCGATGTTTTCCCCTCCTGAGCTAGTTGCCCCTACCTTGCCCCTCATCGTCGGCTCGGAGCGGCCCATTGACAGATTGCGGGCGAGCGCGGCCGTCGAGGGATACGGTTTTTGGGTGTCTTTGGACGGCTTGATGCCCTTCACCGGTTTTGCGCGAGGTTTGGGCCGCCCTGGATCTGGTTCTGCCGCGCTGCCCCGCACCCCCCCCCCTGGGCTTCGGAAGCAAGCTGTGCTTCGGCATCGCCTGGGCCGAAGACCCAGCCCGTGCAGAGCTTCGATCCGTGCTCCCTCCGCGGTTTTGCTCGGGCTGGGACACGATCCACTGCCGCATGCTTCGAGCTCTTCTATACTCTGGGTTTCTTAATAAGCGTGGGGGGTACCCCCCGACGGAGGTCAACCTCGCCTCGTCGTCGCGCCGCGACCTGGGTCGGAGCGCCTTCGGCGCGCGGTGGCTGCCAGCGACGGGGGTCGATGCGGGGCTTTCGGCGGGGGTGACGTCCCCCCGACGCTTGTTGAGAGACTCGGAGTTTCCGTTATCCTAGTTCGTTTCTCCTAAACATTGAACAGCGTATTTTTTGTCGAAGAGGTGATTCGAGTTCGCTTCTTTGGGTCGCCTCTCCATGTTCTGGATCGCTCTGTGGCCACCGCAGGGCTCGCCGCCAGTCTTTCCTCGTGCGTTCCCCCCAGTCGCTGGCTCGGTGCCACGCGTCTCCCCGCAGGGCCCGTCGTCCGCTGGCCCGCCGCCGCCCCCGGTTTCCCGCTCCCGTTCTCTTGTTTTTTCTCACGTGCGCTTCTGGTCGAAGTTGCAATCGAGTTGTCTGGGTAGGGTACCTCTGCAGTGCGATCTTCTCTTGGCAGCAAATGCGCCAGGACATTTCAGGGTTGTTATAATGTTTGGGCGCCGCGCATAGGGCAACCGCATTCTTTCTGCTCTTCCTTCCATGCTCCATCCTCCTCCATTAGCTTCCCTGCCTGCCTCCCTGCCTCTTCCCTCCTCCTCCTTCTCCTCCTCCTCCTCCTCCTCCTCCTTCTCGTCGTCGTCCTCCTCCTCCTCCTCCTCCCTCACTCGTGCGTCCCTCCTGCTCGTCCTCCCCCGCCTCTCCTCCTCATCCGTCTCTCCCCTCTGCAGTCTTTCCGTAGTCTTTATGACTCAAGCCGTATCAGACCATGGTGGTCTGCGCGACCCGCTCGGCCTGGCGCTCCCCTCGAACCAATCCTCTCGTTTTTCTGCTCCCGCCTCCCCGCGGCTCGCCGCGGGCGCGCCTCTCCCTGCCGTCCCACTCCCGCCATGGCTGGAGTGGTGGCGCCCGTCACGCCGCCAGACAGTGCGATCCTTTTGGTGTCCAGTCAATCTTCTCCTCCGCCCAGCGGCCGCAGGTACTTCCTGCGGACATTAACGTGCTTTCCGAGCCAGATTGCGAGCCTTTAAGATATCGATCGGCAGTGTTTCACCATTCGTATTGCTGAGTTTGAACTGTTCAGGAGCCATATGTCGACCCTCGGTACTAAGCCCGATCGCGTGCATGATGCAATTGCGAGGAGGCCAGTGCGTCAGGCGGAACGTTTCGCAGAGATCAAGCGTGCCCCTGACTTTGGCGATCCACCAGATAGTGATCGACGCAGACGCTAGATCGCGTCCATGTCTGATAATACCAGGTCGCAGTTGATTGACATAAGGGCTGTGAACTCGTCAGGCTCATCGACCCGTGCCGATTCGGGGTTCGGGATCTTGGGAGGCGGTGAAGAAGGGGGTCGTGGCACGATTCGGAAGACTTCATGACCAGACCAGGCCAGCGCCACTCGCCTCGTCGTGCTCGGGATTGAGCATCCACTCTATGGGGCCTCGCTGAAGGATGCTGTCCAACCCGTCATTGCGCAGTGCAGTCCCATGGGAGAAGAGCCGATTGTGCGCGCGTGCTGACTGACTAGGAAGGTGCTCCGCGACTTCCCATCCGCCCTTGCGCGTTCCGCGTTCGACTGTTTACCAAAACCCAACTGATGGTCTTGTCCGGGGTTTCGGGTTCGTCGCGCCCCCCCCTGCCAGTCGGAAGTGTTCTGTTACCATTGGCAGGGCAGGATTATCATCGGCAAAATTTCGGGGGACTTCACCGTTGGGAGCTGCGGTCTTGGAGGGTGGGTTTGCGGTCTTCTCGCCGCTGCGAACCCGGTCGCGGTGGCGGAGGCCACGATCTCTGAGTCTGTTGCGCCAGGCTTCCTGCTGGATCTCAGCGGTCCGAGTAGTTTTAGTAGAGAGGCCTGCGCGGGGTGCGCCCGGGCGCTCTTCGACCGCTTGCGTCCTTTCGGGTGAACAGCTAGGCCCTAGCTGTCCAGGAGCTTCATGCCTCGGGGCCTCGGGCGCCTCGTCTGGTTTGTTTTTTTCGTTTTCCTTGGGGTCCTGGTCTTCCTGCGGCCCCAGGGCCGTCGGCGGCGGGGCCCGGGATTTCCGCGCCCCCAGTTTGCCGGAGTGGGATCAGGCGGCCAACCGTAGTTCTGGTGACCCCGCCTCGAGGGCGAAGTGCTTCTTCTCTCCGAACTCATCTGTTTCTGCCTGTGCTTGAAGTGCCCGCGCCCTTTTCTCTTTCCGCGCTGCGTTCTCGCCACTTACGGGCGCGCGGCATGCGCGGGTGCTCCTGCCTCTTGGCAAGTTCGACGTGGCGTGCGCACGGGGGGCGTATGGCGCCCGCGGTGACTGACATGCTCGGGCGTGGTGATCGATGTCGGCGAGCCGTGCGTTGCCCTATGATGGGCCCGTCTGCTGGTAGGGCAGTGGTAGCGGTGTTGTCCGGTAAGTAGACTAACGGCTCAGTTAGAGTCTTGTGCCTCGCACGTGGTTGTCCCAGGGCGGATTCTGGCATCGCGCCTGAAGGGGGGGAATTGGCATCTCATGGTTCCGATGGCGCGCGCCCGCCCGCCCCCTGGTCTCCATGTCCCCGGCGCATGGGCGGTCCGGAATGTGGCGCTGCAGGGTCGTGAAGAGGCTTGGGATGGCGCGGGAGGGGTTGCCCTTCGGTGATCCCGAAGTTTGTCTACTTCGTTCGATGGCGCAGCTCCCGGCTGCGCGGCGGCGGGCCCGCGCCGCTGCGGCTGCGGATCGTGGCGTCGCCGTGGCCCGTTCCGAAGTGGAGCAGCTGAAGGCCATAGTCGAGCTGCTACAGCAGTCTCGCGCCTCCGATTCGTGCGCGCAGCAGGCCATCGACGCCCTATCTCCGCCTCCCGAACTCCCCGATGAACCCCCCCGCGGCTACGGTCGCGTGGGGCGGCGCTTCTGGTTAATGCGCAGCTGTATGCTGGCCTGGTTGCGCATTTTCACAGGCTAGGGATCGCCATGCGCTCTGAGCAGCTCCTCGACATTTACCCCGAGATCTCGGCGCGCTGGCGCGGCGTCCAAAAAGGCGGCCGACAGGGCGCGTCATGAGCCGCTGGTGGCGGAGTCCGCGGGCAGCGCAGAGCAGGAACGGGATCTCGCCACCGTCGTGCATGCGCTTGAGGTGGCGGAACATGCGGTGGAGCCCAAGGAGCATGACGACGCGGCGCCGCCGAGTGTGCCCAAGGCGCTTGGCACGAGGTGCGCATGTGGCGTGCTGGCTTCCTCGTCGTGCGCTGGGCCTTCTGCTGGCGCGCCGCGCGGGGCGGGGGCGCCTCGGCTCGCGGTGAAAACCACTTCGAGTTCAGGTCCGATGCGGAAGACTTCGCGCCGCTTGAGGAGTTCAACCTGCGGGTGGTCGGCTTTCCAGGAGTGGGTAGTCGCCTGGCCAAGGAGCAGCCGCTCGTTCGCCGCCGTGCGCGCCTCGACGCCGAGGCCGCCCGCAGCAGGGGCGCTGATCAATGAGGCCCCTCCAGTGCGGATCTCGGGGTCGGCGCGGTCTGGGCAGCTGAGACGGCGCCAGATGCCTGCGAGGTCGTCCGAAGACAGCTCAAGAGGCCTTCTCCAGGGATCGGGGACGGTTCCAAATAGTGCCAAGATAGGCAAAGAGCGCCCTCAAGTGGCCCAAGAGGGTTCCAAGACGGCGTCAAGCGAGGTCCAAAAACGCCCGCAGAGGCTGTCAAGAGTGCCGCCAGAGGCTGCCAAGAGAGTTAAAAAATGGCGAAAGGTCTCCAAGGAACCTTAAGATAGACTGGAAGGGCCCGCAGATGGCCCGGGAGGGCCAACGGAACCCCAGGACGCAGGAGGATGAGAGGCGGGGGCTGCGTATCCGAGGGGGGACCCCTTTCGGGAGTTGCCCCAGGACCCCCCCCCCCGGCAGGGAAGGGATCAAAGGGCCCGCAGACGGCCCCGGAGCGCCACCGGAGCCCCAGGACGCAGGAGGATGAGAGGCGGGGGGGCTGCGTATCCGAGGCCCCCCCCCCCCAAGAGTTGCCCCGGGACCCCCCCCCCCGGCGGGGAAGGGCCCGCAGACGGCCCCGGAGGGCCAACGGAACCCCAGGACGGAGGGGGATGAGAGGCGGGGGGCTGCGTATCTGGGGGGGTGCCCCCCCCGGGAGTAACGGAGGGGGCCCTCCCCGGGAGTAGGGGGGCCCCCCCCCAGAGTTGCCCCGGGACCCCCCCGGCAGGGAAGGGATCAAGGGAAGGGGCTTCCTTCCGACTAAAGGACGACGTTGTTCAATTTTTGTGTGGACTTGTGTAGGGGGCCCTCGGAAAGCAGAAGAGGCGACGACGCTGTGGGGAAGACAGAGAAATCTTTCCCACACGCGGACAGGGTCGGCGGATGTGAGATCGCCTCGCGATTGTTCCGGTTCCCGTTCCGCGTCGGGGGGTGGGGGGTAGTTATTGCTTAGCTGGGTACTGTATCTTGGTGCGTGGGCATGCGACGCGGGGGCACTGCCAGTCTGTCCACGCGGCGGCATGTGGGAGACAAGCCGGCTCACGTTGTACTAGCAGTGGCTCGTGTTTTTTTTGCCCGTAGCATGTGGCGCCTTAGCTGCGCCCGTGGCGCTGGTGCCACACCTCGCGCTGGTCATCGGGCACGGGGGTCGCGCATTCGGTTGGGGGGCGGGGCCATGCGGTCCGCAAGTCCCATGGGGCCTTGTGTCCGCCCGCCCTGTGGAAACAAGCCAGTTGCGCATGCTGGTCGACTTGGCAGGGGGTTGGTGGTCGGAAAGGTACCTCCGATGTGACCCGAGCGTCCCCATGCGAATCATGCCATCTCGGCTGGGCGGCGAGTCGCTGAGCGACGAGCAGTTTCACAAAACTGCACCGCGACCTGGCGCCCAGCTCCTTTCCGCGTGCCAGAACTGCGTTTTGATGACTCCATGGCTCCTCCTCCTCCTCCTCCTCCTTCCTCCTCCTCCTCTTTCTCGTCCTCATCTTTCTCCTCCTCCTCCGTTTCCTCCTCTTCCTCTTCCTCTTCCTCTTCCTTCTCTTCTCTTCTCTCCTCCTCCTCCACCCTTCTCTTCCTCTTCCGCCTCCTCCTCCTCGTGCCCCTCCTCCTCCTCCTCCTCCTCCTCCTCGTCCTCCTCCTCCTCCTCCTCTTCCTCCGCCTCTCGTTGTGTGTGTGTGTGTGTGTTTGTCTCTCTACAATTACTCAATATGAATACTACTTTCCTCCTTCCCCTGATGACGGGTTGGGAGTGTTCGCCCGCCCCCCCCCCCGCGTACTACTTTTTCGCAGAGGATTCCCCGGAGTTGGGTCTTCGCCTGTATTTTTTTCAAAATGCTGCTCTCGCTGAGGCGCCGGCCTCATTTTCGGGCCCCGCTCGTTCCGAATCGTGCTCCCGCTGCAGCGCTGGCCTCATTTCCGTGCTTCCGCCGTTCCGAATCGTGCTCCCGCTGCAGCGGTGGCCTCATTTCCGCGCTCCCGCTCGTTCCGAATCGTGCTCCCGCTGCAGCGCTGGCGTCATTTCCCGTGCCATGCCTCGGCATGCAATGCAATGCTAGGTTGCGTTCCGCTGCGCGATGCCATACCTTCAGCTGAAGCTGTGATATGCAGTGCTTAATTAAGTGCCACGTCGTGCTATGCCATGCTACGCTTTGATCTTCAACTTCAATGCCATGCTATGCAATGTTACGTTCGGGACCGCTGTGCGATGCCATGCTTGGCGTTGCAAAGCTTTGTGATGCAATTCTTCACTACGCCACGCCACGCCATGCTGTGACATACTACGCTTTGCGGTGCTCCTCTACGCCATGCCATGCCGTGCTCTACAATGCATCGCGTACCTTTTCGGGATCCTTGCCCTGCTCGACATCCGACTGTGCGAGTAGAGAGGGGATCTACGCCATGGTAAGGGATGGGAGGGAGGGTTAGGATGTCAGATATGACGCGAGCGCACCTAGCTTGCCCTCCCCCCTCCTCCCCTACCACCTCCACTTCCACCTTCTTCTTGTCTTTCCTCCTTCCTCCGCCTCCTCTCGCCTTCTCCTTCCGCCTCCTCCTCCTCCTCCCTGCTCCATTATCCTCCTCCGTCCCTCCCTCCCTCCTCCCATCCCCTCCCCTCCCCTCCCCTCGCCTCCCCTCCCTTCGCCTCCGTGTCCACATGTTCCCTCCGTTTTCTCCCTTCCTCGCTTCCTCTGTCCCTCCCTCCCTCCCTCCCTCCCTCCTCTAGCCTCCCTCGCCCATCCCCGTCCTCCTTCTCCTTCTCGTTCTCCCTCTCCTTTTCCTTCTCCTTCTCGTCCCAATTCTCCCCCAGGCGCTATCGAGCCAGCCGAGTTCCTCCCGCTGCTTTCCCGGCTGATGAGGCAACCCCAGAGCGAAATGGACAAGGCCCCCCCCCCCCCTCGGCTTCCTTTTCCGTGACCAGGTGGGGCTTCGACCTCTGGAGGGAGGGGGCGCGGAGGATGATTTGGCGGGGGGGGGGGGCAGGGACTTGGAGGAGGTGGAGGAGGAGAAGGAGGAGGAGGGTACCAACGATGATGATGATGATGATGATGATGATGATGATGATGATGATGATGATGATGATGATGATGATGATGATGATGATGATGCTGATGCTGATGCTGATGCCGATGCTGATGCTGATGCTGATGCTGATGCTGATGATGATGATGCTGATGATGATGATGATGATCATGATCATGCTGATGATGCTAATGCTGATGATGATGCTGCTGCTGCTGATGATGAACATGATGATGATGCTGATGATACTGCTGCTGCTGATGATGAACATGATGATGTTGCTGATGATGATGATGTTGTTCATCGTTATGATCATGCTGATGTCGATGATGATGATGATGATGATGATGATGATGCTGATGATGCTGATGATGATGCTGCTGATGATGCTGCTGCTGATGAGGATGATGATGATGATGCTAATGCTGCTGCTGATCATGACGATGATCATGCTGCTGCGGCTGATGATTGTGCTGCTGATGATGGTGATGATGGTAACAATGCTGCTGATGATGTTGATGACGGTGCTGCTGCTGCTGATGATGATGGCGATGCTGCTGATGCTGATGCTGATGATGATGCTGATGATGCTGCTGATGGTGGTGATGATGGTGATGTTGCTGCTGCTGATGCTGATGATGAGGATGATGATTATGATGCTGACGCTGCTGCTGCTGATGATGTTGCTGGTGTTGCTGATGATGAGGATGCCGCTGCTGCTGCTAGTGATGACGCTTATGCTGCTGCTGATGATGATGATGTGATGATATTGCTGCCTCTGCTGCTGATGATGATGCTGCTGCTGAAGATGATAGTGGTGGTGGCGATGGTGATGATGCTGCTGCTGTTAATTATGATGCCGATGATGCTAATGATGATAGCGAATATGATGCTGCTGATGTTGATGATGATGCTTATGATGATGATGGTGGTGGTGGTGCTGCTGGTGGTGCTGCTGCTGATGGTGATGACTACGATTATGCTGCTTTTGCTGCTGATGATGTGGTGGTGGTGGTTGTGGCGATGATGATCATGTTGATGTTGCTACTGCTGCTGATGATGCCGATGATGCTGCTGCTTCTGCTGCTGCTGCAGATGATGATGATGACGGTGATGGTGATGCTGCTGCTGCTGCTTCTGCTGCTGCTGCTGCTGATGATGATGATGATGACGCTGCTGTTGCTGATGATGTTGCTGATGATGCTGATGATGATGGTGAAGAGAAGGAGGAGGATGATGATGATGATGATGATGAGGAGGAGGAGGAGGGGGAGGAGGAAGGGGAGGAGGAGGAGGAGGAGGTGGAGGAAAGCCGTTCCATGGAAGGAGGAGGCGTCTTCCTCGTCTGGTCTCCCGCAGCTCCGTTCCACCGTCCTGCCTTACCCCCTCAGCCCTTTTCCCAGACCCCCGACTCCAATGCAGTCACACGGTTTTTTTTTCGGGATCCGTCGTCGTGGTCCTCCTCCTCCTCCTCCTTTCCCTCCTCCTCCTCCTTCCCTTCTCCCTCCCTCCTCCTCTCCCTCCTCTCGATCCTCCTCCTCTCAGTCCTCCGCCTCCCCCCCCTCTGCCTCCCCTTGTGGGGGGTAGGAGTCGGGAGGCCGCCCGACCGCATTGGAGCCGGCGTCGTGATTCTGTTCGCGTGGGTCCTCGGAGGTTTGGCCCTCCTTCCGGGGGGCCGGCCTCCCCTCCCGAGCCGCTGTTCGACGTCCTTGGGCCCTCTGGCCAGGGCCCCACAGGGTTACGTCGGGCCTGTCCCTCTACAGGAGGAATGTTCAAAAATAGTCAAACAAGTAGCCCAGGGACTGTGTTCTGAATATGTTTTGACCATGTTGGAGTAATTTTTTGAATACTTTTGTATGTTTCGTCGAGGATCCCCCTGCAGAGGGACAGGCCCGACTCAACCGTAGGGGCGACCAGAGGAGGCGGCAGGGCGCGAGCCAGGGGAGCAGAGCGGGGCTGGGGCCCGGGCGGGCGCGAGCGCAGCGCCCGCCCGGGGGGGGGGAGGAGCGGCGGCACGAAGATCAGGTCGGGCCTGTCCCCCTACAGGGGGATTTTTCAAGGGCATAAAGAACGCTCCTACCCTGGTTTACGAGGCGCTGTGCGCTGAAACTCCTGTGGGCTGACGGGGTAAACCCTGCGTTATGTGCCGCGTCCTGGCGGCTCTAGGCTTTGGGGGTTCCCAGGAGGTTTACAGACCACGCACTTGTAACCCAGGGTAGGGTTTTTTTTTCATTCCTCAATACAGGGTGATGTTGGACAACAAAAAGAACTCAAACAATACTCAAAAGATGCCCCCAAATATGCAAAGAATAGTCCCCGACTATTTTTTGATACCTTTTGAATATTCCCCCTGTAGAGGGACAGGCCCGACTTGACGCAAGGCGGCCCTCTGCCGAGTTGCAGCGGGCCGAGTCGCTCCCAAAGGGAGTTCGGGCCGCCTGCGATGGTTCGTGGGATGTCGCCCCTCTGTCCGGCGGGGGGCCGCTCGTCGCCACGACGCGGGGAGGTCCGGGCTTCTTCTGGCGGCGGCCCCGTCTTTGGAGGCCTCCGGGGCCGTCTGTGGTTGTCGGAGACGCCGCAAGGCGAGAGGTCGAAACTCATCGAGAGACCGATGGGATACCAGGGGTTTTGTGCCTCCTGGAGGTCCGCGTGGAGCCCTCTTGGAGTGTCTTGGGGGCCTTTGGCCATCTCGAACTCGTTTCGGGCCGCCTTGGGTCCGTCCTGGGCCGTCTTGGAGGCATCCTGGAGCCATCTCGGGCTCTCCTGAGGCCATGTCGGTCGCCCTGGAGTCATTGCGTGTGACCGTCTCGAAGGGTTTTCGGGTCATATTGGCCATCTTAGCAGCGAATTTTCTTCCTGTTATGGTCCGCCCGGATCTTGATCTTCTGGTGGGCCGGCGGGATCGGCCACGACCCACTGGGAACCTTTTGGAAGGGTCGAAAGCAGAAAAACCATTCAGTACGCCAACAACCCCTTTTGATAAATCAACAGGGGGCCGCGCATCTAGTGGCCTTCCGCCCACCCCGCCACCGTGCTTGGGTTGTAGGTCAGAGGCCCCTTGGATGCCTGTGGGGATTTCGTGGGGGGCCTCTCGGAAGCCTGCTGGAGGCAGTTTTGCGGTGTCTTGGGGCGTCTTGGGGGGGCCTCTTGGGGGCCTCCTGGTGCCTGATTTGGGCCTTTTAAGTGCCTCCTGGGTTCTGGGGGGCCTCTTGGGGCCTTGGGGGCCTGCTGGCGGTCTCAGGGGTCATCTTTGGGTGAGCGGAGGTAGCGAAATGTCGTGTCGAATTCTTCATCTTTGGGCCATCTTGGGATACATTTAGGGCCTCTTGGGCTGTCTTGGGGCCATGGTAGGCTGTGTGGGGGCCCTGCTTGGGGCCTCTTGGGGCGTCGTCGGGCGATCTTGGGGGTCTCTGGTGCCGTCTGGGAGCGTCGAAGTCCCGAAACGGCGAGAATGCTAAAGTCCTTCACGTATTAACGGACAATCTATGACGTTAGCTTCTTGAGGGGCCTCTCAGAGCCCTCTTGAGGTGCCTCGGGAGCCTTCCGGGTCGTCTGGATGCCATCTCGGGCGTCTTGGCTCCTTGTTCGGGACTCGGGGCCCTCTTGGACCACGTTGTGAGCCTCTTTTGGGCCTCTCTGGCCCGACGTGGGCGTTCCTGACATCGTTCTCGCTTCACTGCTCGCCTGGCGCGCGCCGGCACGCGTTAGGATCGGCCGGGAGCGCCCGTGCTGCTCTGTGTGCCCGCGGGCGGGTGCCGGGCCTTCGCGCGAGCCACGTTCGCAGATCACAGGGCGGCGTTTCCCTCCGCAGCCATTTCTGGCTCGAGGTCTGTGCTGGACGCTTCGCGTGGCCCCGCCAGCGCTTCTTCCTTTTGTGCCCTCGTTTTTCCCCTGTTGTCCCTGCTCGCTCCTGCCTCTGCCGCGTTGCCTCTGTGCTTCGCCTGTGTATCTTCCCGCGCGTCGCTGGCGTCGATTGCGCTGTGCCAGGCTTCCGCTTTACGACCTGTTTGGACGGCGCGCAGCTGCCTGCGTCGCTCGCGAAAAACAAGAGTACCCCCACCAGCTCACCCAGAAACAATGCCCAGAAGAGTTGCCCTGATCAGGGCTGCGGAGGCGCATGCCGTGGATTAAAAAGGTGGGTAAGACGTCATACCCCAAGAGGGGGTTAGAATTAGACACGACTTTGGGCCCGCATCTCTCATTGTTCTCACTAAGCGTGGCGGGCTGCGGTAGCAAGGAATACCGACAGAGCCGAGCTCAGTGTGTACGCATAAGCGTGCAAGCATGTAGCGAAGAGTTTAGATCAAGGGGTTACGATTAAATCCTCAAAAGCGTGAAACTCTGAGAGTGCACCCGTCGGACGACAATTTAATGCCACGAAGTCGAGCGGGGCCCATCAGGCCCTGACGGACCGAGAAACTGAGTCCCAGGGGCGTGCGCACCGACGAATGGGATGCGAACGGGACCCCAGACAGGGAGGGGCAGCAAGGCCTCTAAAGGCCGTTCAAGTAACACCCGAGGGGCCGAGGACGGGCGAGAGGAGCCAGGAGGCGGCGGCAGGAGGAGAGGCGAGCGAGGGGAGCGAGGGCAACGGCAGAAGCAGCGAAGGGGCCCTCCAGGGTCGGCGGTTGATCAGTCAGAGACTCACCCGGCAGCGAGCGCTGCGATACAAAAAGGCCGGCCGAAACGAGCACGCCGCACACCTGGTCGGAAACCTCATAGTCACCCATGGACGCGACGACGCCCCCGCCGAGGCACAGCGCTAGGCCGACGTCAGAGTAATCTGTGAAATTGGCATGTCCCCGACGAAGCGCAGCGCTAGGGCGATGTCATTGTAATCAGCGAGCTCGCAGAGACAGCCC